TTTGTTAAACGTGTGTGACAGAGCGTGAACAGTAGTCGAAAAGGGTTGTGTGTACGTTAGCTGATAAGAACATTTTCTGATCGCGAAGGACGACACTCGTAATAATGTTTGGGTGTATGAGAAGTGGAGCTGAGTGTGACAGGAACTGGTTGTCAACTTGCCCAGCAGGTTTTGTTGGCAAATCGGTGAAAGCTGTCACCGATTTGACCTGACCCACCTGTTTGGCAAATACCGTGTCAGTGCCAACATTTGTTTTGGCAATGCAAAAGAGTGCCTTATCGGTCCTGCAGACAACCCATTGAGCAACACTCAGCCTTCCAACATTTAAGAGCAAGACACATCCGTAAGCTCTGTATTTCCCATTATGCCCATTTCATAAGAAGTACAAGAAGTTCATGCCATTCGATTTTGATTGTTTTATCGTCAACTAATGAATTTCAGTGCGTTAAAAAACAGCAGGTATGAATGACACCAAACCCAAGAAATTCAATATTCTTGATATATTGAGAATTTTGTGCAAAGGCTATATTTTAAAGTTAGGCAAAATACTGGATGGGTTTCGGTAAACTGTTTTAGGTTTTGGTAACTGTATCGTAGATAACCGGAAACAAAAACATCTATTCATGTGCAGTCTTGTCTACCGGAACCTGAATGCTACTGTTGAACATGAATGTCAAGCTGACATTGAACTGAACTGAAGGAAAGTGCATGCTTAAACATAATGATTGTACAAATTTGAATTGAAGAAATTTAAATTTTAAAGAAGAAGTAATAGAGCTGGAATTTAAATTAAGCAGTATGCTCTAAGCAAAATTGAATTGTTTGATTCTTGAATACACATGGTAATGTTTTGAAGTTCTGGTTAACTTGGTATTTGAAATCAAAGTGGTATATATCTTGTGAATTTTGATATTGAACAAATTTGATTGAACTGAAACCTAGAGTCACTGGATTTTGAATATTCGAGTGTTGTACATTTTGATCAGTATTGTGGTAGATACTTCTACAAAAAAACCCTGTGACTTTTGGATCAAGCTTGTGATGTTGAAATTGCTGAAAAAGAACAGAAAGGGCTGCAGAGCATTTGAAGAATTGGAGGAGCTGGATTCTAAACTCCAAACCTTTGTAAATATTATAAATAGCTTAATTTGGTTAATGTAGTTATTAACTGAACAATCTCCTTGTTTCTGTCATCAGTTCTGTCTGTCTGAAGTTTTTAAGTTTGTAAAACCCGAGTCATCACAAAAGGAACTTGTAGTTAGTGGTGACACAGCCTTTCCCTTTTTTTCTAGACAGAATAAGACTATATAACAGACTCAACTGGGCTAAACTGCCTAATTAACCACTTCTTATACCTTGCGTGCTGGGAGAGAAAAGTCTCAATCCATAATCAGGTGACTGTTGAAAAAACATCGAAATATCCTTCTATAAGAGCACCAAAGTTAGGCTTAAAACTTTACATCTAACAACGTAAACCTCTTGCATTCCATGTCAATAGTTCATTTTGAAATATGTCCACTTTGAAATAAACCACTCCCTCTCTTCTTCCCACTCAGAGCAGATTTGTGTAAATTATTGCGAGGTTTAAAAGGTAAAAGGAATTCCAAAAGTGGACTTCCAAAGTAAAGCATGACTTCGGCTCAATTACTTGTCAAATTCGGTAATTCTCACTACTGTCTACTCTTTCCAAGTGGCAGCCAAAATTATTGAAACCCAAAACTAAATCATGGAAATAAAGGAAAATGAAAAGAGGAAACCCAGAGATTACAAAACTGTTTTGGTAATGCTTCCAGGTCTTTGACAATACCCCACAATGTGGGGATTCTTACTGAGTGCCATAAAATGTGATGTGAAACAGATAATGGAATGTAAACAACAAACACTATCCTCTAATAAAACCGTCCAAACTATTGGTTGTTATTTAAAAGCCAGTGGCACCTTAGTGTTAAACTTAGTACATGTACCTTAATTTTTCATCTAAAATCTTCAGCATTTAAAATCATCCCACACAGGTATTTATTGCTCTGAGTAGTTACTTCACATTAATTTTATAAAACAGAACAAGACACTGTCAGAAAAGAGACACAGGGCAATATGGCATGAGATCAACAAACTATATGAATGTAAAGTGATTTCTAGAAACAAATTTAATGCAGCTTTTATTATGACATGGGTGGAGCTAAATTGTACATGTTACATATTAGTTTATCTTTTCCCTTGTGATTTTCCCATTTCACGGAAATGACCAACAAATTACAAAGCACTGCTTGCAGGGATTGTAAATTACAAACAAACTGGCTTTAAAACGTGGTCAAATACAAATCAACATGAGGCACCAAATAAGTTTGCACCACCTCTAAAATTCACATTTGTTTAATTCATTTTAACTGCCAAAGAGTTGACGTTAACAATCTCATTAAACCATGTCACACTCCCTGGGAATGTGGACATTAACGCATTTGACGATTTCCATTCTACATTAAAAGTTAATTAAAATCAGCCCAAGCCACTAATTGTTAAATCTTCCAACATGTAATACTGTTCAAAATCTCAAGGGTAAAGAAATTTCTGGGTCTACCTTCTTTGACGGATCTAGGAGATAGGGGTAAAATTCCAGTTAAGGCATCAAGGCCTTGGGGAAAAAAGCAGTAGAGCACCTTGGGATCAAGGGGCTTCAAGCCCCTAGAGGTGTTTTTAGTTTTGTTTTTTCTTTCCTTTCTGGAAAATGAAGATATGATACACACCTAGATCTCAAACTACTAGCGCTGATTTAGCCCTGAACCCCAGTCTCCTGTTGCACAATGCACAACCAGGGCGGGGGAGGTCTGAGCATCATGAGCTATTGGAGAGGTAAATTTGTTTGTATCCTCCCCCAGAACAAATTCTGGGTGAACCACTGAATTCAAGCCACTTGTTTGAATACAAATTTCAAAAATTTCATTCAGAGCATGAAATAAATGATTCATATCACGATTTAACTGTCTGTAGTACCAGTGTACAGCTCTTTTTTTAAACTAAGGACAAGAGAGTGGAAAAATGCCATTAACCACTCGTCTTCCTTTTTACATCCTAATTATCAACAGAATTTTGTAAACTTAGACTATACTTTCACAAAATATGTTTAACTCAATTGAGAACTTGGAATTATAGACTTGGTATACCTGTATCTACATGGGAAAGGGAACTGTTGACAACTTGACAAGTACTTGTAGGTGCCATACTGCATGCACATCACATAGGCTCTGACAACATCCCTATCAGTCAAAGCCAAAGCTGGTATTATTAATTACCTGTAAATGATTTAAATTAAGATTTGTTCGATCTTGTAACAACAAATAAATCTTAATAAAAATTAACAAGAAGCAGATATTATTTGCTTGCTTCAGAATGAAGAATTATGCTGACTTGCCTGATTAGAAAAAAAGATTCAGATAAAAAGTCTACTTCAATTAATCTAAAAATTCAGATTCTGAATCTATTTGAAAAAAACAAACAAACAAACAAACAAACAAACAAACAAACAAACAAACAAACAAACAAAAAAATTGGTACACAGATGTTCTGTGCTAGTAATTTATGCAGCATATGGGTTTCCAGGGAATCTACCAGTTCTGTGTTGTCTATCAGCCTTTTTGCATTTTCGACTCAATATCTACAATTTATCCAAAATGCCAAAAATGCCTATGGAATTGGCTCACAAGAGTTGTCATGCGACTTTTTTTGCACATTTTGTACGCTTCGAGAAAATCGGACTTTGAGGTACCTACAGGAAAGAGTTACAGTACCTGTCTCAAAATTGCCTATATATCCATTGATTAATATGACAGCACACCACACACATTTACATTATATGCATGCACTGCAAGTGAAAGAGTGCAATCAAAGAGTAAGGACACAGAAGAAGTAGCAACTCTGGCACTTCAAAGTGTTCTATGATCATCGCCACTGAGTCAGACGAATAACGGAAAACATTCCAAAAATACTCCATTACTGCCTGCATCTTAGCTGGACAAGCGGGGCCAGTAATATCCTATAGTTGTAGCGTTTTGCTTGCAATTGAATACAAATTATTGCTGTGACCAGGAAATAAAGAGAGAAAAATCCCTGATATTAGACCTACTTTTGCCATCGTGAATAAACTTTTAAATTTTGATACACTGTTCCATAATCCATGCAAAGTTTGTAATTTTTTCTCCCTTCTCCAATACATCAGTCTTCAAAGACTTGATAAAAACTTGGCTGAGACTGGCCAACAAAATGTTGACTACTACTGGAAAGCTAAGTTCATAAGGAACAAAATGGGCTAAAAATGCTTTTGTACAAACGGCATAATAAAATCATTCAAACAAAACAAAATCTTGTAAACAATGGGGCTATTCATTCCCAAAATAACTCCAGAATAAAGCGATCATTAAGGGCAATGGCTGCACATATACATTTAGGGCACACAGCGTAATGCAAGCAACTGCACAAGCATTAAACTTGATGTTGTTATGAGATCACACCAAGTACCAACAAAGCACGAATATTCAATTTCATATACCTCTGTACACAAAGTTTCAAGGATGCAGATTACCAGCAACACATTGGGGTGGCGATCATTGGGTACAAAGTGGTTTCCTGGTTGTGAAACAGATGGTGCGTAGCAAGCACTCACGGTGCTCTGGCTACGATTGTTAGAATTTGTTAAATAAAAACGAGCAAAAGGTCGTTCCTAAATAGACAGAAATGGTCTTCACAGAACAGTATGTTAAAAAAAGGACTTGAAGGTAGAAGGCTGTGTTGCCTGACTGTGGGGATTTACATGGGGCAACTCTATGGTGTTCTTAAATTTTTGGAAGAAAGAATTCTAACTCAAACCATCCCATGTAACACTCATGTCAGATATAATTCTTGGTGCTTAAGTTAAATTGTGCAAAATATATATGAAAGGGATTTTGGTAAGGACATTCACTTCCACATTATTGTTCCTAGGTCTCCTTGTTTATGCACATTTGTTTACACTTCATGTACTTACAGTATGTGAGAATGACATTGCATAGCCTTGTGATGCACAGGTTTTAGATTCAGTTAGACTGGCCTTGTACAGTTCTTGTAAGAAAAGGTTACATTAGACTTTAGAAATTTTTAAATGCAGCATATTCCTAGCATTTAGCACGGGCGTTTTATGTTAACTGTTAAAGTTCATATTGGTCTCTTGTTTAGTCTCTTCTTTTAATTTCTTGTTTTAGTTTTTGCCGCAAGACTGCCATAAACAAACTGTGTATAAGGTCAAGTTGTACTGAGTGTCGCACATTTGAGATTTTTGGAGGTGACAGGGCAATTTTTGGCATAACATTTTTCTTTCAAGCAGGGCACATTTTTAGTTGCTTAAAGGCTTTTTCCAAGATGATTTTTATAAAAGTAAATTAATTGAAAATATCTGTGCATTATTTTATTTTTTATTCAAGGGTTCCAGAAGCTTGACATCAAGAGTAAGCTTTCAGGCTCTATTGATAAACCTTTGTCCATAGTAGCTTTCTAATTGTAAACTGCTAAAATACTGTACATACTCAATAACCTAATGATACTCATAACACTCATTCCTGCAAAAAGTGCAGAATTCCATATCATGGCTGCCCCAAAGTTAATGTAAACTTTCAACCGATGCTAATAATTTCAATACCAAAAGGGAAACATGTTGCTTTTGCTTTGCCATTTTTGTTCCAAAAAACTGTCACTGTTACATCTTTTCAGATATGAACCAAATCATGTAATTTGTTGTAGCTCAAGGATCTCAATACAGGAGTCTGATCAACATATGCAACAAAGGGATGGTGGTATTGAAGGTGCGATACTGATTATCATTTGTGTCTACTTGTTATTTCACCTTTGATTGCTTTTTACCTGTCTTGCATCGTAAGTTCTGTGTCTTCACTGGCTTGTATTATCACTGTTTTGACAATTGGTTCCAGTGATGCTGCCCAAGCTGGTACTATTTTGCCATGAATACGCCATGATCCATACAACCCTGACAGATGCTTCTCAAACACGACATACTCCAACACATCTTTGGGAATATCTTCACTTCCAAGCATCAGACGTCCAAAACGATCATATATGGCAAGTGTCTGTAGAAAAAACGAAAAGTATATAATAAAACTGACAGATACTTGTACAACACAGCACAGATTTTATCACATCTTTAATCAACCTCTGCTTCATATCCAAAACTTCAACTGGAATAGACTTTAAATGAGTAAATAAGCAAGTAACAAAATGGTAAATATCATTTGAATTTTTTTAAGATAACATGATCTATGATCAAAAGTTCCGTTTCCAACCAGAGAATTTCATGCTGATTGGATCTTGTCTCTAATGTGAATCAAACTTTGTACAGTTTAATGTCATCAAAATTTTCAAAGACCTACATATCTACTTCCCCTAACAAAAGTCATGCCAAAAATTGGAAACAAAAAGGCTTTTGTTCAGGAGATATATCGAAGGAGTGTTCAAATGAGGAAGATTTAAAAAAATCATTTCAAGTGTGTACTTTGCGTTAGGAAATGTTAATTTTTATAACAGGTTTTGCTCTTACATCAACATATACACTGTATACTTGTGTTTGTCCAAGCATTGCATGGGTGGGACTTGAACCCAGGACTTCTTGCTTACTAGTGCAGATGTCTTAACAACTACTTGACCATTGAGCCTGCCAGGGTCGCCAGGCCAGTCTGAGGTTGCAGCGGGTACCACAAACTGTTGTTGCGCCAGAGGATGTTAATTTTTAAAAACAGGTTTTGCCCTTACATCAACATAGATATATAACACTGTATACTCAGTGTTTGTCTGAGAGCTTGTGAAAAAATTCACAACCTTACTTGAACCCACATCCTCCTGCTCAGTGCAGGCTTCTTAACCACTCGACCACTGAGCTTGCCTGGGTAAGCTTGTGAATTTTTAAAGAACACACTGAAACTGTAGTATCTGTATTTGAGATTCAAAACTGATAACAGTATGGTTGAAGAAAGGTTACATAATATGTGACCCAGTGGGTCGAAAGCAGGAATACGTCCAAAATTGACTTTGTGAGATATGTACATGGTCAGAAAGAGAATTTCATAAGCTTTCAAATGGTACACATCACAAGTGTGTTGATGGTAACCTTTCATACATACACTTCCAAAATATACAGAAACCGCCACA